TTTTATATTTAAAATGAAATGTTTATCCTGTATTTGATTGTGTTTATCTGCAGTTAGTTACACGAATTCAGTTATGGGATGAAATCGGATAGAGATGAAATTGTTTAGGGATGAACGGGTTTAAGAGTTTTAAGAGTTTAAGAGTTTTTAAGAGTTTTAGCCAAATGCTTTATAATATAGTATAGATAAGCTCACTTGTCAATTTAAAGAAAATTATAAACATAAGCTACACACAAATAATTTACATTTAAACGGTATTACAGACTTGATAATAAATTTAGGTGTTAATTTAGAAAACGAGTTTAAACAAAATCAAATTAAAATAGAAAAATAATTTAATAAAATTGAAATAATAAACAACGTAGAATATATATATATATATATATATATATATATATATATGACGTTTTAAGTAAAAAATAACGATAAGAAAGAAAGGTATTAAAGAGATGGGCAGATTCATAATTTTTTTTTCTTGTTGGTGGCTGCAAATAATTACCATGATATAACATAAAGTAAACTTAAAATTTTACACTATGGTGGACAAAATCAACGTAGCCACCACTTAATTTTTAGTAGATTCGCTCTTAATTAAAGATGACAACTTCACTGGTTTTGTGCATAAGAGCGACAAGAAAATATCAGTACATAACAAGATAGATATATAGACGACTGTTTCGGCATAGTTTGGATCCAAAGCGGCGGGTATTGACCAAGAACCTCCATTTTGAACCGTATGTATAATCAATATTTAAAATACGACCAATAAGTTTGTGTTAAGCACACAGTTGGTTCTTGTCTTGTTTATGCCCTCTCTGCCGACCTGCTTACTGGCAAAGTTTTCTGTGTTTGTAGTTTCTTGTAACATTGTGATGAAAAAAATCTTAATTCTAGCCCATGTGTATTTATATGTTATGATTTTTTTTACTTATATGTTATAAGTTTATGTTTGGGCTAAATATTCATTTAAGAAAGATCATTCACGAAGAAAACGAATACATATGTCATAATCATAAGGTAATGAACACGTCAAGCCGTCAACCACATTTTCTAATTTCTGTTGCACCAGAAAATGCCTGTTTATTCATAAAAAGTAACCGGCAACGTATTTCAAATACTTCACTAGTAAGGAACTTGACCAACATCATTGCCACGAGGATAATAGCTGCAAATAACGAACCACCAACCATTATTGGTACACGGAACCCTGACACACCCAAGTTGATCTGAATTACGCCATACTGCTTGAGTATAGTGGCCACAAACATGTCCACTAGCACAAGTATTGGTAATATAATCATAATAAGTCCTCTCAGTTGTCCATAGATTCACTGCTTTAGTACCTGTGAAGGTTCCACTACCCTTAGCAAGGTTCTCACCATAAGGTCCACCAGAATGGACAAGATTGCAGTCCCCTCTCCTTCGGTTAGCATAGTTTTGAGCATATGCAGCCACAGTAGAGTTCCATACCATGTTTTTGATGCCCACTCGAGCACGAGCCACATTATGAGCATTTAAGTAATCTTGTTGGGAGTTTTGGGCATATATGATGTGTGGAACAGCCAGGGTTAATAGGAAAACAAGTGCAAATGACATAACTATAACCTGTTGGTAAATAACTGGTGTTGGATGATAAAAGTACATGAATAAGACAGTTTATTTATAGGATGTTCAAGGGGTATATGTCACCCCCTAGAACAACTAATATGGAACGACTATTTGGAATGTAGAAAAGTCTAACTAGCTAAACATACCAACATAAATAAAATCAATGAAACCCTATTTGGGCACAACTGCCTTCATTTCAAATCTTGATTAAGCCAAGTTGGAGTTTGGGCATACATTTTTATTGATTAGGAGTAGTTGATGTCTGAGATCAATTTAAAATATTTAAATACATATATTTATTATTATTAGAAGGGTACTCGCGCAATGCAACGAAATACATCTCGATTTTAATATTCTATGTTATTCTTCGTCTCTGTCGATGTTATAATACGATTTTATGTGTTTTTCAGAAAACAATAATAATTTTATTTTTGAATAAAATATAAATTTGAAGA